GTGTGCTCCACCAGTCTATACCACCTGGTCCAGACTCTTGTTTCTATCATCAGACACCAGCCTCTGGGTCACTTCCTCTCCATACTCAGGTCCCTAGTTTGTTGTCTTCTCCATACCCCAACTCTTGCCTTCATACTTTGGGATTTAGTATTCACACTGATTAATGTCTCAGACACCCAAACATTAAATTCTGATCTTTGGTCTTAGGGCCATCAAATTAGAAAGATAAGGTCTAATCCCTCCTATTGATTGATTGATTGATTGACATATCAGTTGCTTTTGAAGAAACAACCCTGGAAGCTTTACATTTAAAATATTAAGCAAAACCTAGTTTAAAAAAAAAAAGACAAAAGTAACCAACAGCATGTGTGAATATTTCTTAACAGAAAGGATGAAAGTAGGTTGACCTTGGTCATTTGGAACCTACATTTGACCCTGTATTTCACCTGAATTCTGTTGTCTTCATGTACATTATAATCAATGTGGACATTGTTCTTTTTTCTTCACTCTGCATCAGTTCATTGAAGTCTTTCCACATTTCTTTGAATTCTTCATGCTCGTTTTTACTTAAAGCACAATGCCTTTCCATTATGTTCAAATAACACAATTTCTTAAGCTGTTTATTACCTAATTATTTGACCCATAATTCATTACTGACTTTGTGCTATTCTACTTTGTGCCACCATGAACTTTTATTACTATGAGATCTTTCTGTTGTTGATCTTCTTGGGCTTACTAGGATGAGTAGATCAAAGGATATTAACAGTTTAACTTTTCTCAAAAAACTCCAAGTTATTTTCTGAAATGGTTGGACCAACTCAAAGCTCCATCAACAATGCATCTATCTTCCCACAGTCCACCCAAATAAATCTTTGGAAATGTGTTCATCTTACAAATGAGGAAACTGAGTGCCAGAGAGTGGTCCAAGGCCGCTCAGCTGAATTCAGACCCAGGTCCTCTGACTCCCATCCTAGCATTCTTTCCATTTCACCATGCTGCCTCCTCACCTGCTGCTCAGCCAATCCTCAACCCTGGAGCACCCTTAGCATCTTTTCTCTAATAACTAAGTCGCTCAGTGCTGTTAAATCATGAAACCCTATCAAGTAGTTCCAATACAAAGTCACATTATCTAATCTCTAATGGCCCTCACTGTTGCACGGCAATCTTCTTCCTTAATCTTCGACACTAGGGTATTCTCCACTAAGCCTATTCCAAACTCCCTTAAGACCCAGTGTCATTCCCATCGTCTGTCCTATCAGCAGAGAAACTTAACTTCTCTTTTACCAAGTGAATCAAAGCTAGTCAAGTTCTCCCACCTCCCCTCTTTCACACCTCAAAATTAAACCTGGAGGTCCTTCTTGCCAGGGCTAAACCCTTTGCATCCTTTTTTATCCCTTCTCGTCTTCTCTAGAGGCCTGTCTCTTCCATCATCCCTTCCTCCCTGATCTACTGGATCTTTCCCAGCTGCCCACAAATGTGCTCAGGAATCTCTCCTGTCCTTAAAGAAACCTTTCATTCAACCCTGACATCCCCTCACAATGTCATCTTTTTGGTTTCTTTCCTTTCACTGTGAAACAGGAATTTGGCACTCTTACAGTTGTTGCCTTCCTGGCCACCCACTCAATTGCCAACCCCTTCAACCCCTGGCTTTTGATCCGATCATTTCAGGGAAAACTACTTTCTTCAAGTTTACTAATGATACCTGTCAACTCCACTGGCCTTTTAAAATTCTCATCTTCTCTGACCGCTTGACACTGGTGAATATTCACTCTTCCTACATACTCTGTCCTTCTTAGGCTTTTAGGATATTGCTTTCTCCTGGTTCTCTTCCTAATCATATGGCTACATATTCTGTCTTCTCTGCAGAATTAATCAATTAGGTTATATTTTATTCTTATCAGTATAGATGATCCCCAACGTTCTGTCCTTGTTCCCATCATCTCTTCTATATTCTTGCTCTCTTAATAAGCATCATCCCCTACCCCATAGTATACATCTGTGTACAAGCTGTAACCCCCAGTATAACAAACTCCTTGAAGTTAGAAACTTTAGGTTTGCTCCATATGCCCTGTGCCTAGTATAGTACTGTGTAAATAAGTAGGCCCTTAATAAATGTTTGTTAATGGAAAAAGTTCGAAAGAGCAGGAGGCAACTTAAGCAGAGCTGACCTCAGAGGCTAGATACCCAGGAGGAAGAAACACAATCTCCCCTCAGCCCTCCTTTGTTTCTTCGACTTCCTTCCTCCACAGCATGGCCCCCTGCCTGGACTCAGGCCGCTACTCTCTCAGGCTTCAGTGAGAGCTCCCGCAGGGCAGCAGTTCCAGATTGACCTTGTGTATTGTTGGAATAGACTAGCACTGTGAGGGTCACTCACACTGAGCAAATAATTTAACCTCTTAGAATCTTACTTATAAAATGAGGGGTTAGACTAAATGACTGTAAAGATCATTTCCACATCTAAATCATATAAATGAGGTTTGGGGCACACTTGACATAGGCTGGAAATCCATTCTAGGAAAAAAAAATATAAGGACAGGCAGAATAGAACCTTCATCTCTGATCAGATCCTAAGTCCTTCTGACTTTTTTCCGTTAGAGTACACACATCTCTTTCAGGGAAGATCTAAAAAATCCCTACCCCCGCTTTTCTGACTACCTTAAAACACGGTAAAAACAGCTCATCATTCAGGCATCTGGTACCACAAGGCTGGAGAGATCTGGTATCTCCAGTCCTAATTCCCTCTAGGGGTCCACAAACAAGGGCCCCAGGACCAAATATGGCCTGTAGCCTGTTTTCGTACTTCAGAAGCTCAATTATTTTACATTTAAAAATAAAATTTAATTTAAAATGTAAAAGCCATTCTTAGCCTGGCAGTACAAAAAATGGGCAGCAGGCAGACTCCTGCCCTATAATATTCTGTATATACTTTAGCATAATTCCTGGAGGCTCCATCTCTAACAGGTGACCTGGCCATTATCCATTAACAGGCAAAGCCACCCCCTAATACAAGGGTTCTTAACTTGGGATCGATTAACTTTTAAAATAAATGTATTTTGATAACTTCATCTCAGTATAATTGGTTTCCTTTGTACATTTAAATATTCTGAGAAGGGGTCCATGATACCAAAAAGGTTATGAACACCTGACCCAAAGACACCCAGAAGTTGTGAAAAGACTTAGAAGGCTGCCCAGGGAGGCCCATTCTTTACCCAGAAAAACTGTGTCCTGGGATGCAAACTCAAGTTTATATTCCTATTATTCTTGCCATTTCCTTTGGTTTGAATTCACCTGAGATCTTGGGAGAGTTACACCTTCCAGTATTCAAGGACTGTTCTAAAAAAACCTACCTGGATGGAAGAAGGGGGAATTGGCTTTTCCCCTTGGAGTTGGGAGGTACGTATCCTCATCTTCCTGTGAGTTCTGACTTAAGGCAGCAACTTTGATAGGTGGGAAGAGGTGTGAGGCCCTCCCCCTTCTTTGTTCATGTTTTACCCTAAGAGCTTTTCATCAAACCTTTAAAGTTTGTATGACTCCACGTTATGGCCATATTCTACCCAAACTAGGTTCCCTTCTGCAGAAATCTCCAATATTATTGACTTTTAGGAATTACTGTAGTACTTTGAACAGGATGAAAACATAAACTTCTGGGGCAGCTAGGTGGTACAGTGGATAGAGCACTAACCCTGAAGTTAGGAGGACCTGAGATCAAATCCGGCCTCAGACCAAACACTTGACACTTACTAGCTGTGTGATCCTGGGCAAGTCACTTAATTCCAATGGCCTAAAACAAAACAAAACATAAACTTCACTTCCAAAATCCTTAGTTTATTTTCCTTAAGGTTTTAAGCTTTTTCTAAAAAAAACCTGACATCCTTGAAGAACTAAGACTTTCTACCAAAAAGTCTTGGCCATAACACAGTTGGGCATCTAAGAAAGGCCCATCTACCTAGATTTTGGCACCTGAAGTCCAGAAATAAGGGAACTTGTTTTGCTTGACTATATTTGTCACAAGGCTTCGGCACCCCTCCTCTCTTTCCTCTTCTAATGGACCTAGGTGGGGTAAATAAATGTTTGTTAATTGAAAAAACTGAATTAAATAAAAAATAATTAGAACATAAATCCAACAGTGACTATGCCTGAGAAGAAAACAGTTTGGGATGGTGATTTGATCTGAATTAGAAAGATATCCAAATGAGATTAACTAGGATTAGATGAGAAAGTGAGAGATCCAAAATCTAAGTCGTGTTTTCAAGTCCACTGTAGACTATCAAAAATTTATAATTAATGCTGATTCCACATCATTTAATATTTATGTCATGTTCACTAGAGATACATGACAGGAAAGAGAAATACATTAAATTGTTATATAAGTAAATAATATCTTAAGTACTGTAGTGTCTAAGGCACTTTCTGTAGTGTCAACTACTAACTAAAAGAGAATGCTTGCCTCTCAATGTTCCTTACTAGAAAATTAACTAGAGCATCCTTATCTTTCCATTAACAGCTCATGCTATACCCCAAACATTCCTTTCACCAAAGCACCAACTTCCCAATGTATGATTTACTAAACCCCTGAATCTTCTGACAATAAATGGCGATTGTACAAGCGCAGGCACATGAGCCAATACCCTATTTTCTTTTGCTGTTCCTCACCCCATTCTTATTCCCAAATCATCTTGGCCAGGAAACCACTGAAAGAAAACTAGCTAGAGTCTCCATGCTCTGCCGGACAAAGAAGACTGCTCATGAAGCAGTCCTGGAAGCTCAGATGGAAGCTTTGAGGAATTCAGAGACTAGAATTCAGCCAGAACTGAGCAGTTCATCGACACTGTCCACAGAACATTCTAAAGAAGCCTAGGAGAGGAAGGAAGACACCTGACAATGAAGACATCTGGGATGCACCACTATCTTTCTGGGTGGTAGAGAACTGGGATGACTTGTAGCTACATTCACAAGTGACCATCAATGTTAAGCTGCACAACAGAAGGTGAGAAAGCAGATTTTATGTTCATATGATCATTCTTGTTTATTGAGGTCTGTTTATTCTCAACGATGCTTTTTCCTTCAAGTAAACAGAGCAGGCATAAATATCTATAATAAATTTATTGTCTTACAAAAATCATTGTCTAGAAATATGGGGATACAAGAAAAGATGTTTGCAGTCAAGTGCCTGGTGGTCAGCAGCCAGTATGATTCATAAAGGGGATGGGATGAAATAAGAGATTCCATACCCACATGACAAAACCTTCATAACCGATGTTAAAGCTTTAAACCCAAAATATGAGTCATGTTCTCAAGTCCAATGCAGAAGATCAAAGATTTATAATTAACACTGATTCATCATCACTGAATATTCATCATACCACTTTCACTAGAGAGGTACATGATATGAAGCGCAGTCAAAAATTAATACATTAAATTGTTATACAGGTAAATAATATATTTAACATTGTCTTAGTACTGTAGTGTCTAAGGCACTTTCTGTAATGTCAAATTATTTAACTATTAACCAAAAAGAGAATGCTAAATATTCACTGTAACACTGTTTAAAAGGGAGAAGGTAAAGGAAAGGATTCATATTCACTGGCATGTTAACATTCAGGAAAACAGATATCCAATGCTAAGCCTCGAAACCACTGATAAACTTGGAACAAGCCTCAGATGTAAAAAACCAACATTCCCCTTTTGGGCTTCAGCGTCACGGCTGGAATTCAAGGTCAGCACCAGAAGCTGCAGGGCCTTTCACCAATCTCTGCTCTGGAATGCAGAGGCTGCTTACTCATAAGGAGTAGGAAGCACTAACAGACACAGGATTCTGGAGACTCATCCAGTAGCAAATAAGTTAATTTCAACTTGGAAACTCAGCTGCAAAGTTTTAATTGCCCTTCTGCACAGACCAGACCTGACCAAGAACAGTCCACAAGTGTTATACCCAGAGCAGCTGGGCTATCCATGAGGGGCTGCTGCAAGTTAACCAAAGTGAAGGCTACTCTCCCCATCCCATTCTGGTCCTTTCAATACTTCCAAAGCCCTTTTCACAGTTTGCTCACTGATATAGTGTTGATCACAATATGAGAATAAAATGAAAGATACAGGTGCAGTTTGGTCTTCATAATGTTCTAAGGGACTTGATATAGCTGAGAAGCCAAGGGCCACATGAACATAGGAGATGCTAAGTTAACTGTCTGTACAACAGAAAGCATGCATAATAACAACCATGGGTCTGCCCCAATAAAAGTATCTGGGAATGAAGGGCTTGAGGTTTCTGTTAAAAAAAAAAAAAACTCTTCAGACAGCATTTTATGAAATGGCCTTCCAAAGAATATTTGGAAAATAGATGCATTGAACAGATAATCCTGTTTAATATATATGTAAATATATATATAAAAAAAGAGCATTTGTACCTATATTTGAAGCAGGGTATATTATGGGGAGGCTAGACAGCCTTAAGACACAGTTGATCTTTCAGTAAATAACCTTATCATTTGCCCATTTCCTCTGCTGATTAGTGGCCACAAGGCAGACTGGTGGTCAGGGAAGTCCTTGTTCACCCCACAGTACCGCAGCTGGCTTCGGGCCCTCTCTCTCTACTCCACGGGTGCAGGTGGCATCTCATTAACATCACTGGTTTTGCTTTCTGTGTCATCATCTGATAGTTCAAGGGATGCTCCCTCAATATGTAGCTGGCGTCTGCTGGATCGACTGGAAGAGAAGGTGATTGGGCCTCCCCTCCTGGGTGGAGAACAGAAAGAACTATTAAAATGACCAGAAATGTTGACATGCGAAAGCTAGGACCTGTGGTTTTCGTATGTCCTCAGGGCACTCGAACTTGCTGCTTGTTGGCTTGGGGTGTAGAGACAGACAGACAGACAGACAGACAGACAGACAGACAGACAGACAGACAGACACACACACACACACACACACACACACACACACACACACACACACACGATAGAATCATTCCAGCCAATTCAGAGAAAATTGTGACTCCACAAGGGAAATGCCCTGGGAACTATGCTGGGTCCACACCCTGGGATAGAAGGACCAAATAAATCAGTGTCACATGAAGGTACGTGACTAACTATAAAGAGGTGGTATCCGTCTAAATTTTTTGTTTGTTTGTTTTTTGAGGGGTGAGGGGAGCAGGAGGAGCAGGGAAGAAACAGGACAAATAGTCTAAAGTTTTGGCTATGATGGATAACCTGTACAGCAAACAGCGTTATTCTTAATAAGCATGTGTTACTAAGCTGTTGCTTAGTAAGTCATTCCTTTTCTCTCCCTGGGCATGCAAAATTCACTATGGAGACAGGTGATTGGCAGTGCTGTGACAACATCTGCTTAGCTAAGCTTGGCAACAGATACTGTAAAATAGAGGCTACCAACTAACATTCCTTTTATCCTTTTAATGAACCCATCCTTACTACGATCTGAGAGGACATCGAACTTCTGTCCGTATTTAATTGTTCTAGAGGATTACCAAACTGGAAGGACAAACTACAGGATCTCTTTCCCATTTAATCTTACCAGGATATGGGTTAAAGATGCTAAACTGAACAATGGAGGCATCTTGAACAGATGAACAAGGACCAATGGCTGTCAGAGTTTCTTTACCTCTGTAGGCCTCAGATGGACCAGATGATCTTTCAAGCTTCCTGCCCTGATGTAAGGTTACTTGTCAAATCTTAAACAATCAACTCCAAGGCAGCCTGACATACAGCTGTGGACCTTAGGGTACTGCAGAGACCATGAGTCCATAAATGCACTGAGTATCATCATTCTGATTTCCCACAAAACACTCAGTGACATTTGGTATAAAAATCAATTTACATCTTATGGATTTTATTGTGTACTATGTAATATGTATTATGCCTTATGTATTTTTTTTTCAAACATGGGTAGATACCGTGATTAGTAAAATGCAAATTACTTTAAAAAATTTTTTTTTGCAAATTACTTTAAAAGCATTAAATTCCCACTAGCTTTCTGCCATTGTGTTATCTCAAATGATAGTTGTACCATCAGTATCATAAGGGTAGCTAAGCGGTGCAGTGAAGAGAGTGCTGGACCTGAAATCAGGAAAACTCACCTTGAATTCAAATCTGGTCTCAAACACTTACTAGCTGTGTGACCCTGGACAAGTCACTTAACTCTGTTTGCCTCAGTTCCTCATCTGTAAAATGAGCTGGAGAGAAAATGGCAAAGCACTTTGCCAAGAAACCCCCAAATAGGGTCATGAAGAGTCAGACATGACTGAAATGATTGAACAAAACTATCAATATCATAGAAGGAGTCTGAGAAATTTCTGAAGCTGAAATGGAGTTGTTCAACTAATAATGATTAGGAGTCACCAACACTGAAGACAGAAGGCGATTTTAACTGAATATCAAAAACCTTCAAGTCTCTTACTAGCTGTGTGACTTTGGGCAAGAATGGCCCTGCCTACCTTATAATGGCTACTGTGAGAATCAAATGAGGTAATAGGGACTTATAATCATAAAGTCCTATGTAAGGAAGTTTATCATTATTAAAACAATAAAGGATTATTTAAATTTTGTAGAAATATGACCACTAGCATGCTTGGAAAGAAAGCCTAAATAGCGATCAGGCATTTCAACTGTAATGGTCTCAGATGTAATAAAATCAGGCTTATCACAGTCCAAGTCAGGCCAAATAAGGCTCTCTGGACAGATGATGTCAATTTTTCATGGGCATCTTTGGCTGATGGCATTAGAACAAACAGAAGTAACTAAGTACTTCCTGCTGTGAAAGCCTCCCTGCCAACATCCAGAACAAAAAGCATCACACCACTGACAACTATTGCCCCACAGTCTGCATGCAAAGTTGTCTGCCCATTTCACATTTGTGAAGTTTAACATTAACATTTTCCAGAGGAGTATATTAAGTCTCATCTTTGCATGGCTCTTGGTTTGTGTTCCCCTTACTTTTTCTTTTCTTTTTTTAAAAATGATTAATTTATTTTTAGTTTTCAACATTTATTTTCATAGGATTTTGAGTGTTAAATTTTCTCCCCCTCCCTCCTCCCCAAGACAGTGTGCAATCTGATATAGGCTCTACATATATATTCCTATTAAACATATTTTCACATTAGTCATGTTGTAAAGAAAAATTAGAACCAATGGGAGGAACCATGAGTAAGAAGAAACAAACAAACAACAAAAAGAGAGCAAATAGCATGCTTCCATCTGCATTCAGACTCCCAAATTCTTTCTCTGGATGTGGATAGCATTTTCCATTATGAGCCTTTTGCAGTTGTCTTAGATCCTTGCATTGCTGAGAAGAGCTAAGTCTATCAAAGTTAGTCAGTGTTCTCCTGGTTCTGCTCACTTCACTCAACATCAGTCCATACAAGTCTTTCCAGGTTTTTCTGAAGTCCGCTTGCTCATCATTTCTTATAGCACAATAGGATTCCATTATATTCACATACCATAATTTGTTCAGCCATTCCCCAATTGAGGGACATCCCCTCAATTTCCAATTCTTTGCCACTATAAAAAGAGCTGCTATAAACATTTTTGTACATATGGGTCCTTTTCCCATTTTTATGGTCACTTTGGGATACAGACCTAGAAGTGGTATTGCTAGGTCAAAGGGTATACACAGTTTTATAGCCCTTTTGGGTATGGTTTCAAATTGCTCTCCAGAATGGTTGGATCAGTTCACAACTCCACTAACAATGCATTAGTGTTCCAATTTTCCCACACCTTTACTAACATTTATCATTTTCCTGTTTTGTCATATTAGCCAATCTGATAGGTGTGATGTGGTACTTTTGTTTTGATTTGCATTTCTCTAATCAATAGTGATTTAGAGCATTTTTCCATATAACTATAGATAGTTTTAACTTCTTTCTCTGAAAACTGCCTGTTCATATCCTTTGACCATTTATCAATTGAGGAATGACTTATATTCTTATAAATTTGCCTCAGTTTTCTACATATTTTAGAAATGAGGACTTTATCAGAGACAGTGGCTGTAAAAATTGTTTCCCAGCTTTCTGCTAATATTGGTTGCATTGGCTTTTATTTGTGCAAAAACTTTTCAATTCAACGTAATCAAAATCATCCATTTTGCATTTCATAATGTTCTCTATCTCGTTTGGTCATAAATTCTTCCGTTCTCCATAAATCTGACAGATAAACTATTCCTTGCTCTCCCAGTTTGCTTATAGTATCAGCCTTTATATCTAAATCATGAACCTGTTTTGACTTTATCTTGGCATAGGTGTAAGATGTTGGTCTATGCCTAGTTTCTGCCATACTCTCCTCCAGTACTCCCAGCAGTTTTTGTTAAATAGTGAGTTCTTATCCCAGAAGCTGGAGTCTTTGGCTTTATCAAACAGTAGATTATTGTAGTCATTGACTATTGTGTCTTGTGCACCTAACCTATTCCACTGATCCACCACTCTATTTCTTAGCCAGTACCAAGTGGTTTTAATGATTGCTGATCTGGTATGGCTGGGTCACCTTCCCTTGCATTTCTTTTCATTAATTCCCTTGATATTCTGGACCTTTTGTTCTTCCAGTTCATTTTTTGGTAGTTTGATTGGTATGGCACTGAATAAGTAAATTAATTAGGTCCCCTTGAATTTTCTTAAACCTTGAAATACTGCCAGAACTTTCAAAAGCTTTCATGGAGCACAACGTGCCGGATGTATGATCCCTACACAAGATGGCAGCTGCTCCCAGTAAGCCTGAACTGTCTGTGTGAACTGACCTCAGTCTGTTTTTCAGAGTGCTGACTTCGCGGCTCAGGCCTTCACTGGCTTCTACGGCATCATCCAGTTCACGCTGGAGCTTGCGCCGTGAGGCATTGGCACGAGTGGCCTCTTCTTCAGCTTCTTCCAGTTGACGTTTGAGCTGCTTCATTCTGGCATTGGCCTTTTCCATCTGATAAGTAAAATTCATCACAAGTGGTTAAGCAGGAAAATCACCAAGTCTGAGTAGGAGATCATCTCTCACATTCAGCCTCATTCTGAACTTGAATTAGAAAGGGAGAGGGATTAAGTTAGTAGGGCACAGAAAATAAAATCTACCTAACAACCCCCATGTCATCCACATCTTGGGGAACTCAGGCCAGAACACAAGCTAGGAGACTCCAGAGATCTCTTAATAGCATTTTGTTTTCAGACAAAAGAGGAAGAAGCAAAAGCTTCAAAGTTACTGGTCTACTTTATCTCAGGTTGCTGTGAGACACTGAGTATCAGACAGCAACTACGAAAGGCCTAGACTGACTATAAATCATTATTATTACTGCCATCAAAGGCCACAGGATAGGGAGGAGAGAGCTAGGATTTGACCACTTACATCAGACCATAAGAATTCATGGCATTAATGCTTTGAAGAAATGGAAACTTGAGTTTTGATATGAGGGAAAGAACTGATTTGGTATCTTCTAGTTCAGAAATCCTGAGGTAGGATCATATTTATAATCACTGCATCTTGATATTTTTGATTTATTGATGCTTTTTAACATCATTCTCAATGCTATCTTATAAGAAAAGCTCAGGTAAGCAGAACAAATGAATCCACTGAGCACATGTGACAGCTTGTGCCCTGCCTTTCTTCTGAGAGGAGGGAAGTATGACTGTTTCATCATCAGTTCTTGAGTCAAGATTGGTCACTGTATTGATTTGTTGACTTCGTCTTGTTTTTCTTTACATAACTGTGGTTATCACCTTTTTAAAGTAAACACTTTTCTAGTTGACCTATTAAGTTTCAGAATACCTTAGGCTTCTTTTGAATTTTTATGAAATATCAAAGCATACTGATACTGTGATTAACAGCTTAATTAATAAACTAGGGGCAGCTAGGTGGTGCAGTGGATACAGCACCAGCCCTGAAGTCAGGAGGACCTGAGTTCAAATCTGACCTCAGATCAAACACTTGACACTTATTAGTTGTGTGACCCTGGGCAAGTCACTTAACCCCAATTGCCTAAAAGTAAAAAAAATTAAAGTAAAATAAACCGAAGAATTGTAGTGAAATGTCACATTGGTCCAAAACAGAATTTATCTTTTCCCCAAACCCTCTCCTCTACCCAACTTCCCTATTACAGTCACAATGGCTTATAACCTAGGGTTTTGTCATCCTCAATGTTTCCTTCTTTCTGACTTCTCTCTGTACCCAAACCCCTCCCCACTCATATCCAATCAGTTGCCAAAGTTTATTGTTTCTACCTTCCTGACAGCTCTCATATAGGCCTCCTTCTTTCCCCCAACACTAGCACCACCCTAGTGCAGGCCCGCATGACCTCATGCTTGGACTGCTGCAGTAGCCTATCAGTTGGTTTTTCTTCCTAAACTCAACTGTCAAATTGATTTTCCTAAAATGTAGGTATGGCCACAGCATGCATCTATTCAATCATTTCCAATGGTTCCCTATGGCTTCCAGAATCAAATACAAATCCTCTGCTTGGCTTTAAAGCCCTTCAGAATCTGGCCCCTTCCTATCTAATCCTGTCTTCTTACACTTTATTCCCTACTCCTCTTCCATGTACTCTGTGATCTAGTGACAGGGACTTCTTGCTGTTCCTCCAATATAACAATCCATCTCTTAAGTCCCCAGTGTTTTCATTAGCTGTCTCCTTTCCCTGCAATGATTTTCCTCCTCATATCTATTTCCTAGCTTCCCTGGCTTCCTTCAAATCTCAGCTAAAGTCCTACTTCCTTAGGACTTCCTATCCTTAATCTCACTGCCTTTCCCACTGTATAGATCTTGCTTACATGTTGATCCCACCCACAAAGTTGTGAGTTCTTGGACAGCAGCGACTATCTTTTGCTTTTCTTTGTATCTCTAGAGCTTAATAGTAGGTGCTTTATAAATGTCATTTAAATTGACTGTCTAGTTAAATTATAGGCTGCTCCTCAAGAAAGATCTCTTTGAAATGAAAATACGAATGTTATTATCAGTATAAACCTATACTTCAGTTTTTTATTGGGAGAAAGGCTGATTAGGAGAACAAAAACAGACTATATTAAAGAAAAAAATTGGAACTGAGACAAAAATTAGAACTGTGCACATGTGACAGGTCTGCCCTCTGCAAGTCCCTGTTTATTATTTAACATTTGATTATTTATTATAAAATAAATCCAAATACTTCAAAGTTTCTTTAAAAAAAATGCCAACCATAGGTAATGGGTGCTGAGTAGAGGAAGGAGGAGCAGAAGTGAATGTTCTAAAACAAATATATGGAGAACTGGGGAATTTTTTTTTTTACTGGAAATTGACACAGTTGAGTAACTGCTCTATAAATGGTACATCTGATCATAAAAGGGAAGAGACCTTTTCTTAAAGTGCTAACAGTGGAATGATGGTATGGAGAAATTAAGTCAGGAGCACTAAGTACTAAGGAGTACAAGTACTATGAAGCACTTTTATCATGCTAGATAGCTTATTTTTATCCTTGAACATTTAGGTGTTAAGGTATTTCCTGAGAACAAGATTGAAGAAGTTCCTTAACCAACCTGATGGGATAATAATTAGACACTGGATAAAGTAAATGGCAGCACACAGGGGACTTCTGCTGACCGACAAGAGAGGATCAGCCATGCCTAAGGAGCCTATAAAAAAAAGGTTGGCCAGCTAAGCTTTGAGTTGTGGGTCCCCAGTCAAAAGTTCACTCTTTGTCCTTTCCCTTATACCTCTTGCAGAGTGCAGTAAAGAAGGAGGCAAGAAAGGACAAGAGATTTTTTCCCCCACCACACACCCTATTTTCTTGTCTGCACAGGCTGTCCCCTGGGCTTAGAGTGCTCTGTTTCTCAGAATCCCTGGTTTCCTTTGAGATTCATCTTAGGTTCTCTCCCAACCCTCCCCAGCTGCCAGACGCGTCCCCCTCCAAGGCTACCTTTTACTTAATTTATATGTATCTTGCAAGTACCTATTTATGTACATGCTAACTTATATTAGAATGTAAGCTCCTCAATGGCAGGGATTGTTGTCTTTTCTTTGTATCCCCAGTGTTTAACACAATACTTGGCACATACTATGCTTAATAAGTACTTGTTGATGGTGAGATTGATTAGTGAGGTCAGGATGCCAGCTAAGCCCAAAGCCGCAAACTACAATTCACACTAAGTGTGAGAGATGCTGTGCCCAGTGAGGATCAGGCCTAGCCAATGCCTTACCCAGGAGGGAGAAGACACCAGCAGCCTACGATACTGCCAAGTCTTGAGTGACCGTGGTCGCAGGCGTCCACTTTGTATGTGCATCTCTGCTGGCAGCCTTTAGGCATCTGTCTAGTCTGGCTGGTGTCTGTATTTAGGGAACTACTGAGGTAGAAGTTATGTTTTATTACTACTGTTCATGCTATGCTATTTTAGTAAAAACCTTCACCTCGAGATAACCGTGTCCTCTGACTGATCAGAAGAAAAAGTAGACAGAAAGGTGCATACTCCTGAGTTCTAGTTTCAGGGCCTTTCAAGGCCAGAATCCCTTGACCTAAGACCCATGAAAGCAGCTGGAGGGCTAGCTCTGAGGGGGCACTATACCCTTAAGTTTATGTCCTGGAAATACTTAGAGCTTTTAAACAAAGTAATGAAACCAGCCTGAAAAGACCTTTCTCAGATGAACAAAAGCCATCCTCAGGCTCCTGTTGACCTTCTTCATCAAAGAGAACATGGCTTCTCAGACTGGTCTGGAAGCTGGAGAGAGCTGCTGCCTATTCTCTGAGCTCACTCCTTTTGTTGGAAGGGCAATAAAAGAAAGAAAGGTAATGAAGTCTGTCCTGGAGTTGGGGGAAAACAAGCCAGCCTCCTAACCCATTCCCTTCCAACATTTCCTTCAAACAAAAAGATTCCTGGTGAGCAAAAATCCTCACTATATCCCAAGAGATAATGAGAAAGTTGACAAAGCAAAGAGAAGCTACTATCAGGCTGGAAGATCATGGGGAATTTAATTTCTATCAGGACACTCCTTGAAGTCTTTCAAAAAAAAAAAAAGCTCATGAGTACACCTACAGTGAACCATGACAAAACATTTCGGAGCATGGTTTTATTTAGTTTCTTTGCCTCTTCTTGCTCATCATTTCAAAGAGGTTCTTAGATGGTCATAAAATATTTACACCTGACAAGGCTGTTGGTGAGGAAAGTGTTTTGTATACTTAAAAGTTTTATATAAATAAACCTCAATTTTTCATGTGTGTTTTCACATATAAAGAAAACATTTCCAGTGCCTAGCACATAGTAGGAGCTTAACAATTGCTTGTTAAGGTGACTTTTCATCAAGGTGGGTAATTCCCTTCACCAACACAGATGACAATTTCTCTAACGAGGGAAACTGTTGCTGAACCTAGTGATGAGATGATGAACTGAGCTGGAACTGGATCTTAAATTAAAGGTATATAGGCTGTCACTGGTCTTGTGCTTTAGAGCCTTTTCAGCTGGAAGACAATTAAAGTTTGCCCTCTGCTGGCATCTAGTCGCCTTCACATCACCGCGGAGGTGACTGACAGTATGAGCAGATATTTATATACATGAGATGTCACCCTGTCCTCCAGAAGCTTAAGGTAATATAAGAGGTGGCAAGAGAAAAAAGGAAATCACTACAATTCAATCTGGGGCTAGAAAGCAGAGGGATAACAATGAACTGTCACCTTGTTACATCTGAATGTCTTAAAGATAAAGACTTTCTCTCTCACCATGAATGTTTCTTTAACTTACCTGCTCTTTGTACTGATCTGCATGTCGACGTTCATCTTCTACTTGCATGAAAATCTCTTTTAACTTCTTCTCTGTACGACGAACAAGCTTGTTGGCTGCTGCTCGTTCCCTGTGAAAATGACACACGTGTCCATCCTGAAATTCTGTAAACAAGGTTTCTGAGGAAGAGTTTTATTTTTAACACTCCTTCAACCGAGATCTAGGTCTGGCTATGTAGAGCTCAAAGGAACCTCTCAGTGCATCCCACACGAAGGAAACGCATCTGAAATGTCTCAAATGGGTTCTTAGTTAGAGAACATCTATTTGGCTAAGTCTTTTTTGGCCCTTCCTAATCATCAGAGTTATACAAAAAAACTGGTAAATGTCATTGAATCATTTCATCAAGCACTGAAGAGAGGACAAAAGGCTAGAGATCTGGGATTGAATCCTGGGACACTTCCTCACTGTGTGACCCTAAGCAAGTCTCTTTCACCTTTGTCTGCCTGAGTCTCCTCAGCTATAAAATGTGGACAACACCACCTATCTCCCAGGGCTGTTGTGAAGACCAAAAGAAATAATATTTGCAAAGTGCTTAGCACAGTACCTGGCTCACAGAAAATACTGTATAAATGCTTGTTCCCTTCCCCTTCCCAAATCCAATGACGCTACATTTATCTTCTAAAATTTTAAGTTGCACGCTTGGGTTAAAACAAACGAAAAATAAATCTTACAAGTGCATCATAAGGGAGGTGTGGCTAGATAGCAGTTTGTCTGAAAGTTATGGGTTTCTAGTAAATTGCTAATCCAATCTTAGAATACATTAAGAGGAGAAAATGTCTGGGACCTTGTGGGAAGAGAATCTTGTTGTGTTGTGCCCTGGCAGGACATATGAAGTACTTAAAAAAAATTCTGGCTACGACATCTTAAGAAGGCCATTTGATGATCTGGAAAGCATCCAGAAGAGGGCAGCCAGGGTTACCGTGGAGATAAGAAAACTTAGGGCAGATATGAACTAACTTCAAGTATGTGAATTCTGTCATGTGGAAGAGAGATTAGACTTCCTCTGCTTGGTCCCTGAAAGCAGAACTAGAAGCAATGGGTAGAAGTTGTAAATAGGCAATTTTAGGTTTAATATAAGAAAAAAACTTCCTAGCACTCAGAGCTGCGTACAAGCTGAATGAATTGCCTTGGAAGGGCCCAATTTCACGGATGTCCAAGGTTGTACGATATTCGGTAGACAGATTCTTGCTTTTGGGTGATTACCAAATCAGAGTGGTATGTTCCCACTCTGAATTCCATGATGTAGCAAGTCATGTTAATTCCAATTTTATTTCGTTTACTGGAATAACATGATATAGTGGAAATAATAAAGACAATGTTTTTATGCTGTTTTTAAGGTTTACACTGGGTTTTCCCCATTTGAGGTGTAACCCTGGGCTTTGGTACTATTTGGGCTTAAGTCAATTTACCTCTCTAGGCCTCAGTTTCCACATCAGTAAACAGGGTGGGGAAGAGGGCTGACTGAAATCCCTTCCAACTTTAATCTTTGCAAAAGGTTAGGGAAAAAAAATCACAATTTTTTTTTTTTACAACCGGAGGTTTACTTTTGAACAATGACATAATAAAGTCAGGAATCCTGGGTTTGACACTTAGGTTCTTCTACTTGCTAAGAATATGCACTGTGGTAAGTCACTTATTTCTTCATGACCTTAGAGTCCTCTTGTAAAATGAGTAAGTTGCACTAGAAAATCTCTAAGGTCCCTTTTCCAGTACCTATATTTGGAGAGAAAACATTTTTAAAGACATCTCAAGGAAAACAAAAGTATTTTCTAAACTAGAATTGTTCCATACTAGCAAGTTGAAGAATATAAATATTTACTATGTAAACACACATTTAAGGAAGTTGAATTCCAGGCAGATACAGTTAAGCTGAGATTCTTACTTGGCTTCCTGTTCGAGCTGTTCTTCCATCTGCCCAATCTTTGCTTCCAAAGCAGAGATGGTGGCCTTGAATTTAGACTTCACCGATCCCTCCAGCTCCTGCAGCTTGGCCTTCAGCTCTTTGCTCTGTCTTTCAAGCTGCTGACGGGCACTCTCACTTTTCTGGGCAGCACTGCGCTCTCCAGCCAGCTCAGAATTGAGAGTGTCCACCTACAGAGGAGGAAGAAGGACCACCAGCCGTGTTACATCAGGAGAAGTCTTTCACCCCATTGGCTTAGAAAATGAAGCCAGACCTTGAATAGCAATCTTTGGTGACCAGTTTACCTGCAGAGTGGCCTTACGGAACCGGTCATTGAGGAGTTCCAAGTTACTCTGCTCTTCCTCCAGTTCCTCCTCCAGCTGTGCGATACGAGCCTCCAGGCGCCGTTTTTCATCCAGTAAAGAGGATCTGAGAGGCAGAAGGAGAAAGAGAGAGTGCATCAACACAGCAACAAAGAGAGACCACTGACAATGAAGCCAATCAGTCCTTCATGACAGCACTCTGTAAGGAGATGTGACTATAGCCCCTTCTTTCCTCACTGACAAAATGAGAGGGTTGAAACAGATGATCCTAAGGTCCTCTCTAGCTCTGAAGTTCTATGACCACACCAGGACAATTTACACAATGACAACATTATAGGAAAAAAAAAACTGTGGAAGACTTGAGAACTCTTATTATTAATGCAATGACATACTATGACTCTAGAGGACCAAAGACCACTCAATTCCTGCCAAAGAACTGATGGACTTAATGTACAGAATAAGACATGCATATTTGGACAGAACGTAAGAATTTTTTTTTTTTTTTTTGCTGAACCATTTTTTTAAATTGTTAATTAAGGGAGGTCAGTGGGAGGGAAAGATAATAAATAGTATAATTTTTTTTTTAAGTTCTATGGCTCTATTTTCAGTGTTATAATAATAGAGAATTCAATTAAATTAAAGTGATGGGGAGGGAGAAGACAAATCAGCTAAAGGGTCCTTCTATTAAGAGAAGTGATTCGGAATCTTTAAGTGAATGAACCTGGACCCTAAAGAAATTTGAAAGGATTCTTTATGAAAAGTGAATCCACAGGGACAATTTCCAAGTACTTTCGTTACCAAATCCTATGAATTTTTATAGATTAAAAAACAATAGTTGCAATTTTGAGGTTAGTGTATAATGTAGATTTAATGTATTCTAATCAAATCAACTAACATTTATTGAGTGACCATGTGCCAGGCACAATCCCCAAACGTAAGAATGACATATTTATCATACTACATTGGCACATTAATGACTGTCCTAGAGTCACAGAGCTACTTAGTAGCAGAATGAAACCAGTAACTTGACTCCTAATCCAGTGGTTTTTCTGCATAAACGTACCATCAAACAAATCCAAACACAAATCGTGGTTCCTGGGTTACCTATAGAGTTACTCTTTCTAAGAAAGGCAAATACACTAACAGGCCTTAACAACTGGACTACCCAAATGAAAACAAGCTGTGTTTTGTCATTAGCTCCTAAACCTTTCCTATTAGGGAATAAGTATTTGACTCACTTCCCAGAAGCACTGTTGGCTATCTCATCAGCAAGTTCATCTCTCTCTTGTTCAGCATGTCGACGAGCTCTTTCAGAAGAAGCAAGTTCCTAAAATGTTCAGATCGAGACATTTCTATTTATTGTTTATTTATTTTGGGGGCTATATATTTTTCCCAATTAAATGTAAAAACAACTTTGAACATTCGTTTTAAAAACTGAGTCCCAAATTCTCTCACTACTTCCCTCCCGGTTGATGGGCATTCTCTCAATTTCCAATTCTTTACCACCACAGAAAGAGCTACCATAAATATTTTTGTACAAACAGGTTTTTTTCCCTTTTTTTGATCAGACTGAGAAATTTTTAGAGAGTTCTAGCATTGCTAAAATATTCTTCAAACAAGAAACCCAATTAACAAAGTTTGGCCCTCAGAAGACCAATACTTCTATTCATATGTACTAAAAAACATACCATATACAAAAACCCATCCATGAAATCTATCTGAAAATGACCTTCCCAAACAGTAGTCTATTAAGTAGCCAGAGATGATCACACTATTCAAAAGGAGGGCCAAGCCTACACAATTTATTTTAACAGGAAAATGTGCAGTTTTCCTTTTTATTTGTCAAACTGAAGAAATGAAAATATCCCCAATCTGTACAATATTACAATTGCAATAGTGAATGTATCAGTAAAGAAATGTACAGCTTTGGCTCCCACAGCAGTTGTGACACAAGTGCAAGCATCTGACACCCACTCCCTGTATAGCTCAACTAAAAATCCCCATCATTTTTTTAGCCAGTTAACGTTTAACCTGTAACGAATACTGAAGAAAGATGCTACAGAAATTATAAATAAATAAGCAGGTTAGAATATCCCACTATGCATAATGGGATTTCTTTATAGGTAACAGAAGAAGAACACTGAGCACACCCAGGTTTTATATGAGTCAAATTCTGGAGAAAAGCATAGCCTATATTTAGATCAACACTGTACTTCCATGATAATGGAGATTATTATTTAAATGGAAACAAGATGCTATTGTTTGAAAAAAAATTATTTCCTGCATCTGACCTCTTGTAGTTGAAGTATTTCTGCTTCAAGACTTTTTAATTTTTTTTCATTTTCCTTGGACTGAGCAAAGATCTCATCCCGGGATGCACGAGCTTCTTCTAATTCACGCTGGTAGTCTTTCATTTGTGCCTGTTTTTAAAGAAGAGTATTTTGGGAAGCAATTTGGTGGTTAAAATGAATAGCATGAGAAAATCCCTAATATAAAGTAGTAATAAAAGGGCAAAGATTAAAATATTCCTTTCTAGATTACTGAATACTTTTTGCTGGTTCACTTTTACCAGAATAAGGTCACCAAAGGCCTAAAAGCCTGGTAATAAGGAAATGGCATGAGGACCCAGAAGCCTTATAACTTTGTTCCTAGGTTGGTTTGCTGTATCTTCAACTGGGGATGAGCCCATTACACACGATAGCAGGAATTCATATCTAAACAGGCATGAAATTTGTTTTTTTTACCAAGTAACTTGCCTGGTCTCCATCTTTTACATGGGCAATCATGAGGACATTATATGGCATGTGCATAGTTTCTTTCTATAATAAGCTAATAATAATAATTATTATGTATATTGTTAATAATAAGTCAACTAACACATAAACCTTTAAAGTTTGCAAAGTCCCTTTATGTATATTATTTCATTTAATTCTTACAACAATGCTGTTTTATCATCTCTATTTTAGAAATGAGGTAACTTAGGCCAAGGAAGGTGGAGAGAGTTGCTCAGGGTCATATATCTGCTAAGAATGCTAGAAAGGACTTGAGCCCAAACCTTACTGACATCCAGCCAGTTGCTCTGGCTGCTGTGCCAGGCTGCTGCACACCTGGAAGAATGATGGTCTAACCAAAATGAGCCATCGGGTGGTAGATGGCCTGGCTTCACACACCTGAAGTTTTCGAAGCTGTTTGATCACTTCATCCCTCGCCTTATTTGCAGTCTCTATTTGTGCCTCAAGGTCCTTCAGGTCCATTTCCATTTTCTTCTTGGAAGCAACTGCAAGAGCTCTCTGTTTACGCTCATCCTCCAATTCGGCCTCAAGCTCACGCACCTGACATAGATTTATACTTGGTTAACAGACACACAGAGGGTGGCTTCTCTCATATTTCACAATGGTTCTCATTAGCTGGATAGATGGAATGGGTACAGAATGACTATCAGGACTCACAAGTACCAAACGCACTTCAGGGGGATTTTCCACAGCCTACCTGTTTAATCAGCAGCCTCTTCTTCTCTTCATTCTGTTCATCTCTGGTCTGCAGATCTCTCTCAAACTGGGCCTTCATGGCTTGCATATTGACTTCCAGACGAAGTTTAGCATCTTCTGTAGCCTGAAGTTCATCTTCCAGCTCCTCCAATTGTGTCTTCATTTCCTCAACTTGCTGTTCCAAGGCCCGTTTGGATTTTTCAAGTTCATGGACCTATGCCAGGAGAAGTCACAGAATCAGAGACTTACAGCTAGAAGCAGCCACAGAGGTCACTGAGTCAGCGAAGAAATGATGCCAGAAGCCAGTTCCAGTCTACCTTCCTAGGTTTACTTTTATGTTACTCCCCAGGCTTCCTTCCTCTTCTCTACCCTCAGCAGTCCATCTCCCATATCTCTGCCATTGCATAAGCCGTCCCATGTGCCTGGAGTGGGACACCTATCCCCACCTGCAGGTTCTACCTCCTGGGTGAAGCCTTTCTTGAACCCTTGATTCATTAGTATTCTTTCTCTTCCCAAATTATCATCTGTTTACATATTGTTTTGAAGTCATATGTTTTGGAATGTCTCTTTACAGTTATCTATAAGCATAACAGATAAGCCCTAAATTTGGACAATTCAAATAAAATAAACTGCAATATTAATCTTTTGTCACAATTTGTCTGTCCTGCTCTCCTACTTCACTGGATCCATAGTGGAGATAGATAATTCCATGCAAACTGATGAAAAGTTCTAATTTAAGAAGAAGCACCTGTGTTTGGATATGATCTCTTCACAGGCTGCCAACTAAACAGACTATTGAGTATTTCATCTCAGAAGAGAGCTGCTTCTTACTGATGCACTATGCTCTGGCTGATTTTTTTTTTAAAGTTGTAATAACAATTAACAATAACAAATAACAATAACATAAGGTTGGGGGGTAGTATTCAGAAATTTTGGTTTAAAGACCTTCTTGTTGGGATGTAGATAATATCAGAAGAAAATGGTGAGAGTCAAGAAAGGATGTTACTTCTATTTAGAATTCTCTCAGTAGTCAGTCAAGAAACATTTATTAAACTCCTACCAGGTGCCAGGAACTGTGTGGGGATATAAAGAAAGGCAGAAGACAGGCCCTGCCTTCAAGGAACCCAGAAACAAGAAGCAAACAAATATGTATAAATATGCTATACACAGGATAAACAGGAAATAATTAATAGAAAGAAGGTACTGGAATTAAGAGGAGTGGTGCAGCTAGGTGGCACAGTAGATAGAGCACCGACCCTGGAGTCAGGAGAACTTGAGTTCAAATCTGGCCTCAGATACATAATACTCACTAGCTGTGTGACTCTGGGCAAGTCACTTAACCCCAACTGCCTTACAGAAAAAAAAAAAAAAAGAATTAAGAGGGGTTGGGAAAGGCTTCTGTAAGATGAGATTATAGTTGAGACTTAAAGGAAGCCAGGGAAGTCAGAAGGCAGTGGGGGACAACTAAAGAAAATGCCCTGAGTTGACAGATGGAATGTCTTGTTTGTGGAACAGCCACAAGTCCCATGTCACTGGAATGAAGAGTATGTGGTGAGGACTAAGATCTAAGGAGGAGACTAGGTTATGAAGGACTTTGAATGCCAAAGAGAGGAATGACTGAGTTTGTTGAGTAGGGGGTGACATGATTGGATGTGTACTTTAGAAAAGGTGGGAGAAGAGAAGGGGCCCAAGGACAGAACCTTACTGGACACCTATGATTAGAGGATGTTATTTGGATGAGGATCCAGCAGAAGAGACTGAGAAGAAGCAGTCAGATAGGTAGGAGAACCAGGAGAGAATTGTGTCCCAAAAAGGAAGAGCATCAAGGAGAAAAGGGTGATCAAAAGTGTAAAAGGCTGCAAAGAGGTCGAGAAGAATGAGTGTTGAGAAAAGGCCATTAGACTAGGAGATCACAGGCAACCTTGAAGAGAACAGTTTTCGTGGAATGATGAGGCTGGAAGTCAGACGGTAAGAAGTTAAAAAGAAAGTGAGAGGAGAGAAAGTGGAGGCACCTAATGTAGAGAGCCTCTTCAAGGAGGTTAGCTACAAAGGACAGAAGAGATACAGGACAAAAGTAGTGTTGGAAGGATCAAGTGAAGGATTTTTGAGGATGGGGGAGACATGAGCATGTCTGTTAGGCAGTAGGGAAGGAGTCAGTAGACAGAGATTGAAAATGTGATAGATCAGGGACAATAGAGGGGAAAATCCATTGAGGCAGATGGGATGGAATGAGATAACATGAGCAGGTAGAGAGGTGAGCTATGGTAATGAGTAAGGATACCTCATTACGTGAGACAGGAATGAAGGAGGAAATAGTGGCAGAAGGCATATAAGTAATATGAAATGGAAAAGAGAACTCATGGCAAATGGCCTCAATTTTTCCTGTAAAATATGAGGCAAAGTTCTCAGCTGGATCAACTCTAGCTCATGATCTGCAATAAATAATCAAGCATTGCCTTAAAGAAAGCCTAACAATTTATCATAAACTTCTAGCTTCTTTATTTACGCCAGGAGTTCCCCTCCCCTGGTCCACTTGAAGCCTGTGAACCCCTTCTCAGATCAGTATTTCTTCTCTTTTTCTTCTTTTTTTTAGGTGAGGCAATTGGGGTTAAGTGACTTGCCCAGAGTCACGCAGTAAGTGTCAAGTGTCTGAGGTTGGATTTGAACTCAGGTCCTCCTGATTCCAAGGCTGGGGCTCTATCCACTGTGCCACCTAGCTGCCCTAGAACAGTGTTTCTAAATGCATAAAACAAATACATAGGATAACAAAGGAAGCCAATTATATTGAAATAAAGTTGCCAAAATATTTTTAAAAACAAGCTCACAAATCTTCAAGACACAAACTCAATTATTCCTGGATCTCTTTTCTTAAATTCATGCTAAAAGGTCCTCAACATCCACAATTATGACTATGTCAGTCATTAAAAGTATTCAACTTTATAGGAAAAAGGGTGTCCAGCAGTACCAGAAGTTAAACTATGTTACAGAGCAGTAATCATCAAAACAATTTGGTATTAGTTAAGAAATAGAGAGGTTGACCAGTGGAACACATAAGGTACACAATACACAGAAGCAAATGAACATGGTAGCTTATGGTTTAATAAAGCAAATCATCCCAGTTATTGGGGTAAGAAATTACTATTCGAAAAAAACTGCTGGAAAAACTGGAAAACAGTCCAGCAAAAACAAGGTATAGATCAAAATCTTACATCATATACCAATATAAATACCAAATGTGTATATGATTTAGATACAAAGGATAACAATGAATTAGGGGAGCAAGGAAGAAATTACTATTCATATCTATGGAGAAAGTTTCATGATGAGACAAGGAAGACAGAGGATTAAAGAAGGTAAAATGGACAACTGTCATTATTCAAAATTAAAGAGAAGCAGGTAAATGGGGTAAAAAAATCTTTGTAGAAAACATCTTTGATAAAAGTCTCATTTCTAAGTTATATAGGGAATGGATCCAAAATTTTAAGACTAAGAGCCATTCTCCAATTGATAAATGGTCAAAAGATATGATCAGACAGTTTTTCAAAGGAAGAAATCCAAATTATCAATAACAATATAAAAATGCTTTAAATCACTAATAATCAGAAAAATGCAAATTAAAACAATTCTGGAGTTTTACCGCATACCTACTAGATTAACAAAGTTGATCAAAAAAAAGAAAATGATAAATGCTGACAGGGCTATGGCAAAACAGGTACATTAATGCACTGTTGGTCAAGTTATGAACTGGTTTAGCCATTCTGAAAGGAACATGGAACTATATCCTCAAAATGATTAAACTGCAGGCCCTCTCCTTAGTGATACCACTAATAGGTCTATGCCCTTAAAGAGATTAAAGAAAGGAAAAGGACATATATGAACAAAAATAGCAGCTCTTTTCTTGTGGCAAAGAATTGGAAACTAAGGAGAGGCCATCAATTGGGGAATGGCTGAACAAGCTGTGGTATATGAATGTGAAGGAATACTGCTGTGCTATAAGAAATGATGAAAGTAATGGTCCTAGAGAAATTTGGGAAGACTTATATGTAACTCACGAGTCCTTTGTCAGTATTAGAGTGGCATCTGGAGAATCAAATTAAGGGGTGAGAGAGGATTATACTGAAAGAAGGAGAAAGGGAGAGGTAGAATGGGGTAAATTATCTCACATAAAACAGACAAGAAAAGTCTTTTACAGTGGAGGGAAAGTGGGGGAAGGTGAGAAGGAATGAGTGAATCTTATTCTCATAGGATCTGGCTCAAGGAGGGAATAACATACACACTCAGCTGGGCATGGAAATCTATCTTACCCCATGGGAAAATAGGGGGAAGAGGGGATAAGAGAGCAGGAAGTGATAGCGGGGAAGGGGGTAACCTGAAGCAAACACTTTTAAGGAGGAACAGGGTCAAAAGAAAATAGAATAAATGGGGGTGGGATAGAATGAAGGGAAATATAGTTAGTTTTTCACAACATGACTACTATGGAGGTGTTTTGCATGACTACACATGTATAGCCTGTATCGAGTTGCTTGCCTTCTCAATGAGGGAGGAAGGGAGAAAATTTGGAACCCAAAATTTTAAAAACAAAAGTTAAAAAAAATTGTTTTCACATGCAACTGGGAAATAAGATATACAGGAAATGGGGTACAGAAATCCATCCTGCTCCATAGGAAAACTGAAGGGGAAGGGGATAAGAGAAGGGGGGGAGAGATAGAAGGGAAGGCAGACTAGGGGAAGGGGTACTCAGAATGCATGCCATCTTGGGGTGGGGGGAGGGATGAGATGGGGAGAAAATTTGGAACGCAAAATCTTGAGGAAGTGAATGTTGAAAACTAAAAATAAATAAATAAATTTAAAAAAAAGGAAAGATTAGTAATTCTGATTCACACAATGACAGATCATGATGAAACATGTAAACCTACCTTCTGACAGAGAGATTATGGATTCAAGATAACAGATTGATGATAATATATCTACAGCTATATATTCACATCTATATGAATGATGAATCATCACCTCTCTGTCAGAAGGTAGGTAGCATGTTTCATACAGAGATGGATATGGTCGGGGCAGGAGTTTGTTCTGCTTAACTACACGTGTTTGTAACAGAGGCTTTGTTTTCCTTTCTTTCTCAGTGGGGAGGGAGATGGTGGGAGAGATTTTTGGCGATTTGAAAAAAAATGAAACTGCCAAACCCCACTTCAGCCCCAAATAGTGCCGTCAGTTGAGAAATACGAAACTTACATTTTTCCCCACGTCATCCTTTGAACTCATCAAGTCTTCCATATCTGTGCGCAGCTGTTTATTCTGCCTCTCAAATTCCTCCTTTGCTTCTAATGCCTCTTCCAGTGCTCGGGCCAAGGACAAGGCTTTGGTCTCCTTTTCTCTGGCCTCCGCTTCAGCTCGGTCTCTCTCTTCTGCATATCGAGCGGAAACATTCTTCTCTTCTGCCAGGAGCTGCATATATCAATACAATGAAAAATTTAACCCTAAAGTGTACTTCCATCACATCATTAACTATTGCACAAGTAACAGACTGACTCCTAAATGAATTAGGAGATCCCTTCTACTGGATCTCAAGTTTACGAGACACAAACAATTGCCTACTTGATCAAACTTCTTCTGCTTTTTCTCTAAGTTGGAGACAATCTGGCGCTGATGATCCAGATCCACCATTAAGTCATCAAGCTCTTGCTGTAGACGTGTCTTGGTTTTCTCAAGCTTGTCATAAGCCAGCGCCTTTTCCTCTAAGCGCTGGCTCAAAGCCTCCATGTCTTTCAGCAGCTTCTTCTTGTTCTCTTCCAAGTTTTCAATTGTTCCCAAGTCATCATCTACCTTTTTCTTAGTATCAGCCAGCTACATTTTATAAGGAAAAAGAGGTATTATTATTAAAGAACACAAATGCTAATCAATAGCTGAAGAATCATAGCATCATAGAGGAAATATTTACTTTGAAGAGTCTATGAGGTAAGATTTAAATTTAACATGTTTGCATTTGTTTAACTGTATTATAAATCAACTGCAAGCAAATTTTCAATGGTAATAGTCAAAATCTATAATTTATTTGGAGAATATAGTGGGTAGTCAATAATCTGCAAATTTTAACATAGATTCTTATGTGTTCATTTAAAACACTCCCATCATTGCACCAAAATTATCTAGGTTAAAAAAAAAATGTGCTTAATTCTTAACTTAGCACAACCTAATTAACTGTCCCAAATGGTGCTAAAACAATTCAGCCTTCTCATGATACGACTGGCTTAAGTGTTACGTAGCCAGACCAATAACATTACTGTCTTAAAAAGAAAAAGCACAGCCCACCTGCGAATGCAAAACTAGCACTTGTTTTTCCAGGCTCTTCCTGGCCTCCTCCTCCTCCTCCTGCTGCTCCTGAAGGCTGGTCTTCTCCTCCTCTAACTGCCTGATCCGGCTGCTGAGGTTCAACTTTTGGCGTGTCTCTTCTTGAAGCAGCTCCTATGTCAGAAAAATCAAAATGAAGTTATGACAAGCACCCATAGTTGAACCGTTAAGTTTAAAAGCTCTAAAATACAAATTCGTAGTGAACCACATACTTTTTGTCTCAAACTGAGACCTACAAAATGTGTAACAAATTTAAAATACAGTCCCAAACAACATCCACTTCATTTTTACCAATATTAAAAATTGTCTCTGCAAAGCACTTCTTAATTTCTGATATGCTATATTGTTTCTCTGTATTATGTGAAAGTTTTGCAAGTTTTTATTTCAAGACTAGACAATATGGATAATTTAACAATGATTAAATTTCAAATTAGTCACTTCCTGATGTTTTTATATCACAAAAAATACATTTCTACATGTATTAGTGCAAGATGATGGCTATAAAATCAGATCACAAAGTTCTTGGCAAAAAGGGTCCATAGAAGAAACTATAATTACAGCTACCAAGGACGTTTATTTGGAATTAAACAACTGCCTTCTATGATCACCAGCAACATATACTGTTAAAGACCTGTGCACAAGAATGTGAGCGTGTAGAGACAGAGACAGATATTCTAGAGATTATCTCTTGTAGAGTGTACTCATCCTATTCAAAGCAAAAGACAAGTAGAATACAAAATAAACAAAGTGATAATCAAGCTGCTTTTAATTTTTTGGCAGATGTAATTCAAGGACTAGTGTGTAATCTATCTATATACTAAAACATAAGAGGAGAACTTTTATAAGAAGACTTTTCTTCCCACAAATGCACCTGTGTATCCTGTAGCTGTGACTCAAGACTGGCTGCATCCTTGGCAAATTTAATGCCCTTCTTTTCTGCTTCTTCCAGGAGGGTTGAGACATTATCCAATTCATTCTGCAGACAAGAATAAAAGTCCAAATTTAGCACAACGGTAAGCAAGTTAAAAAAATGTCAAAAATTACTGTACTCAAAATATACTAGATTCCCCATGCAAGAGTTATGAAAATATGGAAAAGAATTATACAGGTCACAAGGTGTGCAGGGACTCTGATCTGCAATTATCAGAAGTACTGATAATGAAATCAGAGCCAGGAACCACACTGGTAAGCATCATTAATACCAACCTACTTTTAAGAATAGGAATTTTATCTCCTAGAGGAAGAAAGTATAAACAGGAAACACCTTTTAAGTGTTAAAATATCAGTATTTACAACTAGTGACAGTCTTCACATCTCTTCTTCAAATGCACAGCACACTAACGGAGCATTTTTACATTGGTTAAAAAATAGGAAATGCTATCACTGGTTTGGGTTTAAAGAATGAAGGTTTTCTAACTTACCTGGAGCTTATTTGCTTTTTCAGCAAGTTCTACCCGCAGCCTGTCTCCTTCTGTGACCTTGGCATGTAGTTCTTGTACCTGGGCGTCTAGTTTCTTTCTCTTGTGTTCAGATTCAGCCTTGACTTGCTGCAGCACCTTCACTTCACAGGCCAACTCTTTGTTATCAGTTTCTAGACCTTGCTTGTTTTTCTCAAGGTTTACTTTGAACTATCAGACAGAAAAACCACATGAGTAGAAATTATTTCATAAATACAACTATTTTTATAGCACTGCATGATGCTTTCACCAAGAAGACTGTTCTTTGAATATGTAGTCTATTTCTACATGTGAAGACATAGGGACCATGTCTCATTAAATTTTTATCTCCCTCAGAGCCTAGAAGAGACACATGGCAGGTGCTTTCTTTTCTTTTTTTTTTTTAATTTTTAGGCAACTAGGGTTAAGTGACTTGCCCAGGGTCACACAGCTAGTAAGTGTCAAGTGTTTGGTCTGAGGCCGCATTTGAACTCAGGTCCTCCTGACTTCAGGGCCAGGACTCTATCCACTGTGCCACCTAACTGCCCCTTGGCAGGTGCTTAAAGATGTATACTGAACACACACACACACACACACACACACACACACACACACACACACACACTCAATATATACGTAGAAATTAGGCCAGGACTAGAAAATGCCAGAAGATTACCTTTGGCAACTGTGTCTCTTGCTTTGGATAGATCAGAGATCTCCAAGAACCCCAATGAATATCCTCCCAAAGGGCATTCTTATGTTTCTTCAATTTTAAAGAGTATCATCTCATTTATTATGTTAGTGACACTATACCATTGTGAGGCAAACAAATAAGCATGAGACTTGGTCCTTGCCATGAAGAAGCAGAAAACTTCATTGGGATAAGAAGACTAACACATTTAAATTAACGACATGGAGGCAATTTTAATAAAGTGCCAATGAGAGTGGGAGAAAGAAATGATGAGTTGTTTCGGTGCAAACTAACTGATAGGACACCTAAATGGTAATGTCCTGAGCTATGGGAGTGGAATATTGAGTGTGAAGGAAGACAAATAGACACACTAGCATATTAGAGTTAGACTAATCTATCTTGATGCTCAAAATGGATATAAAACTCTAATTTTAAAGATCATGTCATAAAAAAGATAGAACTAGATTACAAATGGTACTTTACCTTTTTACACCTGTGGCTAAGAGGAAGTATTATTAATCAAACAAGGCACAGAAAATAAGTAATACAGAGTGAAGAAAACAGAGTCAAAAGAATATAATGACTAGAGTGTAAATAAAGTAAACTGACATGTAAAAAAACCCCATATAACCAATGTTACTGTCTTTCTGTAAAGACTTAACAAAGTAGATTTCTGGGAAACATGGTTGCCTGAATGTTCTGCTCCCACATACCTACCCTGCTCATACCAGATGGACTAATGGTCAAGAAATCCAGAAACTAGGAAAAAAATCACTTCTACTCCAGGACTGTACAAATAGTCAGTTAGAAGCTCACAGGCAACAGAAAAAGGAAACCACCAGCAAAATCTGGGCCAGTGCAAATAAGCCCCTCCATCTTGACCAGAGAAGCACCAGAACAGATCAGAGATAGTCAGAGACACAGATAGTCAGTCCACAAGGCTCTGCCTGGAGGCAGCAAGAGCAAGAACATATGTTGATTTAGTTTGGATGATTTCTGCAGTGAATTTCTCTACCTTTTCATCCTCTGCAACCAATATTGGTACTTAAACTGCAATTATTTTCATGGTGGTCTTTTTGCAAATACTTATTATGAATATTACAATAAGAGATAACCAAACATCTCATGAAATGGTGCTTCTTACTACTTCTGAGAGTTCAACAAACCAACTCTGCCAATTGTTGTATTCTTTTTTCCAAGTCTCCATGAGCTTCCATTGAGCTCTAACTTTCTTCTTTATTCTGGTTTCAATTATAGTGAAATATCAAGGTTGATATGATTTAATTCCTCAAGGACTATTCTACTTAAGGATTTCATATTTAGAGGACAAATAGTTAAGTTAAAGTTTGCATAAGTATGTGACTCTTGGTATTCTCCAGACCCTCTTCTACTTTGCTAACACTCCTAAAGAAGGGGAAGGGGGTCTCAGAGGGCTGAAGGGCCAGTTGTTTCATGGTTTGCTGTAGCCAAAGAATTCAACACCCAGTGAGACTAGTGTCTCTAGACTTAATGAGTTTAGTCCTCAGAAGGCTGACTCAGACTGCTGCCAGGACCATGCTTTTATGCAGAATGGTATTGCCCTTTCCTTTATTACCTCTTGGATTTTGCTATTATTATACAGATATGCTGTTGATTGCTGTGGGTTTATTTTGTTGCCTAAAACTGCTGAAGCTATTAACTGTATTAATTAGTATTTTTTCATGATTCCTTGAGATTTTCTAAGTAAACTACAATTTCATCAGCAAAGAGATAGTTTTACCTTCTATTTTGCCCATATTTATACCTTTTGATTTTTTTTTCTATTGTCTTATTGCTACTGTGAACATTTCTAGAACTACCTCAAATAACGGTAGGGAGACTGGGCACCCTTGCTTTACTTTTGTATTTACTGGGAAAGCATCTAGTGTATCTCCATTGCACATAATACTTGTCTTTGGTTTTAGATATTTTCTCTCATATTAAAAAATATCATAAAATGTCTATGTTTTCAGAGTTTTTAGCACAAACGAATGCTATACTTTGTCAAAGCCTTTTTCTCCATCTATTGAGATAGAATAAAAGACATGAATTACTTAGGAAAAAACTTCCTATCTTATAGAAACAACTAGGAAAACTGGAAAGTAATTTGGCAGAATTAGTCTTACCTCAACACCATATCCCACAATTCAATCCAGACATATGACCTCAATATTAAATACCATAAAGAATAGAAGCTGACCTTTTATAGTTATGGATAAGCAATGCATTCTTAACCAAACAAGAGACAGAAGCAATTACAGAAGATAAAATTTTGATTACACGAAATTAAAAAGTTTCTGCACAAACAAAATCAGTGCATCAAGGCTAAGTAGGGAAGTGGATGAATGGGAAAAAATTCTTTTTTCAAATTTATCAGATTTCTCTGATAGAAGTTTGGTATCCAATATGTAAACACACACACACAGACAGACACACACAAAAGATCAAAAGCCATTCACCAATAGGTAAGTGGTCAAAGATTATGAACAGTTATCAAAAGAATTGCACAGTACTAATATAACCAGATGAGAGCGGAGTCTGTGTTGGCACGGCCTGTACTCTATTCTCATCCAAGTGTGACAGACCTTTCTTGGGGACCTTCTAAGTTGTCTTTGGCTGGAAAATTATTTCACCCCATCCTTTTGTGAGTTCTGTTGCTCCAAGAATTGGAGCATTATTTAAAGGTGTTCAGAAGGGTTTTGGGGAGAGCTCAGGCGAGTTGCTGCCTTTTCTCTGTCATTTTGGCTCTGCCCTCTTCCTCTTTTTCCTTTAAAAAATATTATTATATGGGACAATTCTTTGGGAGAGGAGATGAGGTATACTGGAAGAATTTGGTGATATAAAAATGAAATATATCAATAAAATTTTATTTTAAAAAAGAAAATTACGGTAGATGAAAAATGAGAAATTTAATTTGGGAACTGGTTTGGAGACAAATATAAATGACTGAAATTTTTATTTACCCTTTTAGCCTGTTCAAGTTGTTCAGAGAGTTCCTCTAGGGCACTAGCATGTCTCTGCCTTATGTCCTGGATTTGAGCTTCATGGTTCTTAGTTTCTTCTTCAATAGCCTTCTTCAGTTCAGCTACTTCCTGCTCACGTTTAGTCCTACAGAAAGCAATTTTTAACACAAAGAAATCCAGAATTATTTTCTTAATACATTTAAGAATTGAGAGTACAAAACCACATCTTTTTATAGAAGTTTTAGCTCCTCAAATACTGTACTGTAATAAACTACAATAGAAAAACTAGTTCAACTGGTATTTTATGAGAAGAACCAGTGTGGTGTAGTGGCAGCCCAGAAACTGGGATTCAAATTCCAGGTCTGTATTTTACTATCAGTGTAACTCTGGGCAAGGTCACGTGGGCCTTAATGCCCTATTTTGTGAAATGGGGATAATACTTTATTCACACCATGAAATAGGCAGGTGAAGTACTTCATAAACTTTGAGGAACATAGAATATGATTAATTATTGGACCTATACCTCAGCTGCTCAATAACTGGGCAAACTTAGCCAAGTCATTAATCTTCTCTGGGCCTCAGTTACTTTCTCTCTATATAAGATGGGGCTGGATATGCTAGGTCTCCTTCTAGCCCTAAGCAGTCTATGACTTTATAAGCTAGAAATTTCTTTGTCATTTCCTATAAAAATTTGTTCATTCTACATACTGCTTTTATTGAAAAAGAAGCAAACAACAAGCTGATACTGAGGAGCCATTTAAATAGTAACAGCATTCAAAGTATTATACAGTACAAATTCAACTTAATCTCCTCTGCAGTCTACATCCACAGAATGATGATCCTACAAAACTGTAGACAGTTAATCCGTTTATTGAATTATATAAGGTATATAGTAGGACTTTGGGAGCACAGAAGTCATGCTTTATGAAACAGGACAGCTTCTGTATTCTCCTCAGTGCCAAACACAGGACCATGCACTCAGAACTCACATAAATACTTCTTGCACAAAGCTGTCATTCTTGGGGAACAGTGTTTGAGCAATAATAAAGTCATCTTACATTTGGATTAGGCTTCCCAGTTTTCAAAGTACTCTTACACAACCACAGCTGTGAGACAGGCTGAGCAAAGATTAGTACTTTAGTTTTATAAAAAGGACCCTAATGCTCAGACAGGTAGAATGACTTGCATGAGGTCACAGAGGCGCTAAATAGGGCTGGGATGAGAACCCAAGTTTTCCAAATCCTCATCCAACATCCTTCTGATACTACATGCTCTTAGGCATATTTCCAGGTATTCTAAGTTAGGCAGGATAGTGTTAGGGTTTGGGGGAGAGAACAGTAGCTATAAATATGTGGGCACAGTCTACTAATGTATTAGACCCTTTTAGCAGAGGGACAATTACAATCATATATTAACTATTTATCATATAAGGCACAATCTAGAAGACCCAGAAACAAAAATGAAACAGTACTTAACTCACAAAGAAGGTAAATGGAAGATAATTTGAAGAAATCTCTTATCACCTCAAATTGAACACAACAAAAACGGAATTCATCTTCCCTCCACACATTCTCTCACTATTTGGCTCTCTTATTCAAATCTTCTGGTTCTGTCAAAGGCATTACTGCTTTCTTTGTCTCAGCAGCCTATTTGAAGCCTTGTCGGTCCTTCCTTTCTCACTGGATTAAATGTCTAAACTTTTGGCCCGGCACCCACATGCACCAACTGATAACCATCTACTCAAATCCATTTATTTTCATTCCTCAATCTGGATCTTTCACTCCAGTGAAGTGGATCTTCTGACGATTCTCCACTCACACCAGTCTCATTTTTGCTTTTCTGTTTTTGCTTACACTGTTCTCTTTGTCTAGAATGTCCTCTGATGTCATCTCACCAATTCAAATCCTACACCTTCACTGGAGGTATAAATCAAACTCTATTAAAGAAATACACACACATGAAACTGCTGGGAAAACTAGAGAGCAATTTGGCACAAACTAGGCATAGACCAACATCTCACACTATATAGCATGATAAGGTCAAAATGAGTACAAGATTTAGATATAAACAATGATGTCATAAGCATGAAATAGTTCACCTGTAAGAGCTATGGATGTGGAGAAAAATTTATGGCCAAATAAGACAGAAAGGATCACAGGAAACATAATGTATAATTTTGATTACTTAAAATTTACAAAAATTTCATGAAATCTGCACCAAAAAAACCTCCCAAAAGCAGACAAGATTAAAAGGAAAACAAGAAACTGGAAAAAAATATTTATAGCAAGTTTCTCTGATAAAGGCCCCACTTCCAAATATATAGGGAAAAGAGTCAAATTTATAAAAATAAGAGCCATTCTCTATTTTATAAATGGTCAAAGGATACAGACAGGCAGTTTTCAGAAGAAATCAAAGCTATCTATAGTCATATGAAAATATGTTCTAAATCACTATTGATCAGAGAAATGCAAATTAAAAACAACCCTGAGGCACCACCTCACACCCATCAGATTAACATGACAAAAAAGGAAAATGATAACTGCTGGAGGGGATACTGAAAAATAGGGGCACTAATACACTCCTGGTAGAGTTGTGAACTGGTTCAATCATACTGAAAAACAATGTGGAACTATGTCCAAAAGGCTATAAAACTGTGTATACCTTCTTTGACCCAGTAATACCACTATTTGGTTGTATCTCAAAGAGATCAAAGAAGAGGGAAAAGGACCTACATGTACAAAAATATTTACAGCAGCTCTTTTTATAGTGGGAAAGAATTGGAAATTAAGGGGATGCCCATCAATTGGGGAATGGCTGAACAAGTTATAGCATATGATTGTGATGAGCAGGATGATTTCAGAAAAACCTGGGAAATGGGAGAAATGATTATTAATAACCAATGATTTGGGGAGATCCAGAGTTCTTCCCCTTTTCTCAAGTCCTGATTTCAAAAGTTTAGTCTTTTGAAGGATATTACTAATAATGAGATTGGACTAACTTTCTAAACAATCTTGTTCAGACCCCACCCAGGTGGGGAAGCCATTACGTTCTACTCACGTTTAGATGGGGATGGATTGCTCAAGGCTGGGGATTATCATGGTATAGGGATAGTCTCTCTTTGACATGTCACTTTCAACCCTCCCTGTACTATTCATTCTCTCATTAATTTTTAACCAATCAGAGTTGATTGCAACCCTCTGGAATACCCTCATCCAAAGGGCATATAAACTATGAGCCTGCTTCCATGATTCCTTTGGTCTAAGACAGAGATGGCCAAATGATCAACCTTTTATTAATAAACTTGTTGGCATTATTAGTAAAATGATTAAATTACCCAGAAATTATGTCTCAAACTTTTTAAATGCCATAGAAGATTTATATGAACTGATAAAGTAAAGTAAGCAGAACCAAAAGAACACCGTTCACAGTAATAGCAATATTGTAATGATGACCAATTGTGAAAGGCTTAGCTACTCTGATCAATACAATGAACTAAGACAATTCCAAAGGACTCATGCATGCATGCATGCATCTATGTACGTATTTATTATATATATGTATATATATGTGTATATATATCTGAAGTCATGCAAAAAATTTCCATATTAAACTATGCCAAAAGGGCTATAAAATTGTGCATGCCCTTTGATCCAGCAATACCACTACTAGGTCTGTATCCCAAAAAGATTTTTAAAAGTGGGAAGAAGGGGAACGACCCATATGTACAAAAATATAGCAGCACTTTTTATACTAGCAAAGAAATGGAATGTGAAGGGACGCCTATCAATTGGGGAATAGCTGAACAAGTTGTGGTATATGATTGTGAAGGAATATTATTGTGCTGTAAGAAATGATGAGCAGGATGATTTCAGAAAAACTTGGAAAGAATTACACAAACGGATGCAGAGTGAAGTGAGCAGAACCAGGAGAACACTGTACACAGTAACAGCAATGTTTTATGATGACCAACTGTGAATGACTTAGCCACTCTCAGCAATACAAAGACCCAAGACAATTTCAAAGGACTCATGATGAAAAATGCTATCTACCCTCCAGAGAAGGAACTAATGGAGTCTGAATGCAGATTGACGCATACTATCTTTCACTTTATTTTTTTCATGTTTTTCCCCTCTTTCAATCTATATTTTCTTTTACAACATGACGAATATGGAAATAATGTTTTGCACGATTACATACGTATTACTTATATCAAACTGTTTACCATCTCAAGGAGGGGGCAGAAAATATATATTTGATACCTGTGTTTTCAATGGGTGGGGGAGAGAGAGAATTTGGAAGTCAAAAAAAATTTTTTAATGAATGGTAAAAGTAAAGAAAAAAAGGAAAGAAATGTGTGCTTATACATACATACGTATGTATGTATACACACACATATAGAAAGAGTGAGAAAGAGAGCACCTTATTACTCTACTTCAAGTATTAAAATTTATCTCCCCAACTCAACTCTTCAAAGGCAGAGATGAAATCATATTTCCCCTAGGATTAAATACAAAACCTGTTAGCCTGACATTTAAATCTCTTGACACTTTTGGTTCCTGACCTCTTATACAGACTTATTTCATGTTATTCCAGTTTCACAAACTGTTCTAGTCAAACTGGCCCAGTAATTATTCCTCAAATTTGACATGTCATGTCTAGCTCCCATACCTGGAATCTATTTCCTCATTTCCTACTATCTCTCTTAGAATCTTTACTTTCCATCAAGTCTCTGCTTAGAGGTCACCTCCTTTTCTGATCCTTCTAATTGTTAGTATTAATTTTGGCTTCATGTTTATTTCTATGTGTACCTGTTGTGTTCTTCCATGAGAAGGTAATCTCCTTGAAGGCAGGGACTTTCACTTTTCAAAATCCTTCATGATTATAAAACAATGTAACACAGTACCACTAATGCAGTGGGAAAATGGACCCAGAGATCAATAATCTAGTCAAAGGATTATAGATATCATATATTTTATAGATATTTTGATAACTATGCCCTTTGTGCACATACCTCTATTTTTATTCTTAGGTAACATTCATGTCAAAGTTTGACTATTGTTGCCCCTTTATCTTGTCATTTCTTAATTTCATTCCTTCCTCTTTCCTTATTAATGACCCATCAATCCCTTGCTAATCACTGACAGCTAATCAGTAACAGCAAGGTGGTTGAGGATACTTTGACAGATGTGCGGAAAAGGTCTAGAGGCAAGAAATGGGGCTGCCAAAATCTTTTGCTGGGTCTACGCTGAACAGAAAAATAATTTACTTTAGGCCATTATCATATGATGTAAAGAGTGACTTGAGGATAACCGTGTCACTTCTCTGAACCTCAGTTTCCTCATCTATTAATTAGAAATCACACCAGATGATCTCCAAGGTCTCTTCCAGCTTGACTCCTCTGTGCTATCTTCACTACCTACCTCAGAGAGCTGAGGAGCAAATAAATAAATGTGTGCTTTATATTCTGAGGCACTATGTAAATATGAGCTAAAATTACAATTATAACTGATGGGGGATGTTACAAAGGGGAGTTACCTTAACTCCTGCTGAGCTGCAGTGGTATCCAAAGTATCCTCAAGTTCTGTTTTCAGTGCTTCCAGTTCTTCACTCAAGTCTCTTTTTTGCTTTTCTGCTTTATTTCGGGAGACCTTTTCTGATTCGAGGTCCTCCTGGAGTTCAGCAATCTGAGCTTGTAGCTCTCGGACAACTTTCAGTGCATTGTTCTTATGAAGCGTCTCATCATCACCTCTGTTAAAAATCCAGGTATAACAGGAAATCAGATACCATACACACGTATAGACACATATATATGAAGAGTTTTCTTAAATGATACCAATCACTGGAGACCTCAGAAGAGTACCCCAGTTGCCCATTCATTCTTTCCTTGGATGGTAAGAGCCACAGCAATGATGGCAGGGAACTGGGTACCAGAACAGTCCCAATGTTGGTCGTTCATAATATACTGCTGGGGGACGTTATCAGTCAACCCCCCAGTGACCAATACATAGCAATCTATCTAATGTGATTTTTTTTTTTTAAAATCCTAGGTCAGTTGCACACTGCCATATCACAGACAATGAACTACTTTCTATCAGTATTAAATGCAATGTATTCAGGCAATAGAATAGGCATTTTTAATCAACAAAAGAAAACCCAACAGCACAGGTGCATTGTCATTTGAGTATATTACAGACCACTTGAAAAGAAAGAGAAGATTAGGAGTTTGGGAAATGGATAAGAAGCTTGGCCCAGAGGAAAGATATAGTAGTGATGGGACCTTCAGTTATCTAGACATGTGCTGGGCTAATCACATCTTGACTTACTTCAGTAATAATTTCATCATTCAAAAGGTGAGGAACTAACAAGGAAAAATTCTCCTGTGGATCTAATTCTTATTAACAGAAAAGAAGTAATTACTAGGTGGAAACAAAGGAGACTTTGGGAGAAATGATCACTCACTCCTAGAGTTTGTGTTAAAGGAGGAGAAGAAAGCCATATAGATTGACACGCAAACTTAGATTATAGGTTAGTTAGTTTTCATAGAGTTCAGAGGATGTAAGTCCAGAAAGGATGGGAAACTCTCAAAAACGAAATTCTGAAGATACCCAGGGAAACGATTGAAGAAGAAATTGATGTGGATGCACAGGGAGCTGCTCACCAACCAAATCGATAACAGAAAAGAGAGCTGATCAACTCTGATTTTGCTCATGCTTTCCCAGACAAAGAAAAAGACCTTTGCACCAGAGGGGACAGAATGAAAAAGGCTGATAGGAATTTGATACACAAGAGAAGTAAGGAGTAAAGAACACACAACCAAGGGCTCTTAATGCATTCAAGTCACCTGGCTATATTCTCAGGTTAAAAGAACTGGCAGATATGAGTTACTGCAAGTGATATCTGAAATATGATAGAAAATAGTCGATAATCTTAGGTGACTGGGTTTGATTTTGTTTGATTCCTAGGAAAAATCCAGAGTGGATCATTAAAGAGATGATCAGAAAACATCTAGAAAAGAAGTAGTGATTATACATAGTCAAGATTGTAAATATCAAGAACAAGTCATGCCTTGTTTTTTTCTAATCTAGATTTCAGCAAATAATTTGATTCATGCTATTCTTGTGGAAAAGATGAAGAGCTAGGGGAAAGATGCCAGTACAGCTTTAGCTAGATTCAGAATAGAGTGAATGGCTGGACTTGAAGAGAAGTTATAAGTGTTCAGTCTCATCTTGACAGCATTCTCCAGTGGGTCACACCAGGGATTTGTGCTTGGTCCTATATTAGTTAATATTTTTATTATTTATTTGGATAAAGGCACAGATGGTATGTGTATCAAAACTATTGATGACACAAAGCTGGGAAGGATAGTAATCTGGACTCAGATCAATCTTTATAGGATAGAGCACTGGGATGAACCTAATAAGACATAACTTAACAGAAATAATTGTAAAATTGTAAAATTTTACCCTTGGGGTTAAAAAGATAAATGTCAGGTACAAGATGGAAGAAGCATGCTTAGATAGCAATGTGAAAAAGATCTGGTAGTTTTAGTGGCATGGCAGCTCCACTCAACCTGAGCTCATCATGGGTTCCATGAAGAGAGGCATAGCTTCCAGGAATAGGGAGGTGATAGTTCCATTGTCAGATGTCATTCTGGAGTATCAGGTTCAGTGTTGGGCCTCAAAGTTTAAGAACAACATTGATCATCTGGAGCACGTCCAGAGGAAGGTGACCATGATGGTGACAGGGTTAAAGGATTATATATTCTTGACATATAAGAACTGATTGAAACTAAAAGTCTCTTAAAAAGTCTGTAATTATGTTATGTGGGAAGTAGGTAGTTTGAAAGTTACCTGTTTTTTCCCCCAAATGGAAAAATTGGGATCTTTCAGATGGAGAAGGATCCGGAAATTTGCTTTTTGACGGGAGAACAAAAGAAAAGGGTTGAGCATTCCTCTCTGTATGACAGAATCTAATACTACTATAAAATGAGTGACACAGATAAGGGGCTAGAGCAGGCCTGCACGACTTGTGGCCTGTAGGCACGCCAAAGGATTTCGGGCGGCCCGCAAAAAATGTAAAGGATTTTCTTTGGCAGGCTGGAGGTAATGCAGGCCGAGGCCATAGAATCACAGGATCCAAGTTGAAGGGATTGCCATCTAGTCCATCTAGTTCAACCATATTTGAAAAAGCACTCTCATTACAACACACCTGACAATTGGTCCATTCAGACTTTAGTTGGAAGACTTTCAATCAAGGAAACCCCCACAATATGGTGAGGCAGCCCACTCCACTACTGGTCAGTCATACTTGTTAGGAAGATTTTCTTGACATCACATCTTAATATGCTTCTCTGAAACTTATATCCATTGTTCTGGCCACTGGGGCAAAATAGAATAAGTCTAATGTTTCCTCCAAATACTTGAAGGTAGTTATCTTATCCTTGAGTCTTCTCTTCTCTAGGCTAAATAACACTAATTCCTTCAAATGATCTCATTATGACATGAACTTAATGCTCTCTACGATTCTAATGGCCCTTTTCGGGGTGTTGTAAAGCATGAGCAATGTATTTCAAACTGTAGTACCTACAACTGAACACAATACTCTGTGGTCTGCCCAGGGCAGGGCATATGAAGGTCAGCATATCCCTGTTCTTAGGAGCTATACCTTTCTTATTGCAGCCCAAGCTTATATTACCATTTCTTGACTGTCACATTACACAACCAACTCATAAGCAGCTTGCAGTCCACTAAAACACCTAGAATTTATTAACTATGAACTGCACTCCTGATTTTTTACTTATGTGGTCAATTTTTTGAGCCTGTGTAAGACCTGTTATTTATCCCTACTCAATTTCATAATTTCACACTATTCATGCCAAACTCTCAAAAATCTCTCAAAATCTTTTTGAATTCTGATTCTATTATCTAGTGTGCTAGTTATACTTCTCTGTATCATCTGCAATTTGATAAGATGCCTTTATCCGGTATTAAACAGTAAAAATAGTCTTCTGTGTAAGATTATTTCTTGGAGAGAATTTTCTGTAACCAAAAGAGTCTCACTACTTTAGGTCATGAGGCCAAACTTATTCCAAAAGGACCCCTGGTTATAAATTTAATCATTATGTTGACATGAATATAGATTCTTAAGAACAGTCTGCATTCTAAAAACAGAACATCTTATAAATGGGGAAAAAATTGAGGTAAACAGTGTTTCCTCCCTAAGCTTCACCACAAACTAAATACATTTAAATGAACAGAAACACTGGCAATTCTGTTATGGTAAAGCCAGTCAGTTTGGTGTCACATGAATGCTGGCATATGTAGCTGACATCTGGAAAGGTCTCTCCCCAATTCCTCTCCAGTTTACTCAGAAATAAAATGCATATGAACATGACTAAATGCAATGTTCTTAATAATCTCAGACCTGGCAAGAGCACCCTGTAGCTCCTCCTCTTTCTTGGCCAACTGGATCTTTAGTTCTTCAATCTGGGCCTGTAGCTCAGCTATTTGGTCCTGCAGATCTGTAGTTTCACCATCAAGTTTTCTTTTGGCTTTTTCCAGTTCTTGACGAGTTTTCTCTTCTTTTTTCAAGCGCTCTAAGGCAAGACATAGGAGGCTCTTCAACACACTGAACACATCAACATAACCAAGTTGGAATTTTTTCAAGAATATGCAGCTTTTAAAAAATTATTATTCATGAACATGCCATTATCTGTTACATTTTATAAGAGGTCCAGATGTTTGAAACCTGTTACAATTTAAACAGAGACATGAGTTTGACAGGAATTGTATGGAGGAATATTAAGATATCAATGGTACTTGCAGAGAGGCAGATGCAGTGTTATTGCATGCCTGTGGACCAGATGCAAGAGAGAATCGTGGTTGAGGAATAATGGGGAGAAAAGCAGAGATTATTTTTCTTCTTTACCTTTATCGAGATTGGAGTAATGCAAGTATTTGATTTACTCAAGGAATACATTCCAATAATATGTTCTTTAGAATAAAAAGGCTGCAGTGAGAATAGCTTCTGCATAAGATTGTAAAAGGTAGGGACTGTGTTCCAACCTCAAATTATTCTTTCCTTTGCATCTGTTATAAATCAAGAAATAGTATTCTGGGGGGCAGCTAAGTGGCACAGCGGCTAGAGCTCCAGTCTTGGGATCAGGAGGACCTGAGTTCAAATCCGGCCTCAGACATTTGACACTTACTAGATGTGTGACTCTGGGCAAATCACTTAACCTCGACTGCCTCATCAAAAAGCAAAAGTATTCTGAGAGTAATCACTGGCTGCTTAAAAACTATATATAATGGGTTTGTGTGAAATTTCCAATTATATGGTTTTATAAAAGAATGCTAATGTTAGACTTTTATCAGAGAGGTTAAATTCAAGGACTTTCCCTAATTTTGTATCTTTCTTCTAATTCTAGTTGTGTTGATTTTATTTGTACAAAAGCCTCATAAAAATTTTTTTACGTAACCCAAAATTTTCATTTTCATCTTTTATCATCTCCACTATCCTGCTAGTTGTTACAAGTACTTCTTCAGTCTCTAGTTGTAAGGGACATGGTTTTTAATGGTGTGACTTGTTTTGGTTAGATCATTTATCAACTTGGAATTTCTTGTGCTATATTTGACATAAGTTGCTGACCTAACCCATTTTCTACCAAAGTGCTTGAGTCAGCCTAGCAGTTTTGTAGACTAAACATACCCCTCTGGGGCAGCTAGGTGGTGCAGTGGATAGAGCACTGGCCCTGAAGTCAGGAGGACCTGAGTTCAAATCCGGCCTCAGACCAAACACTTGACATGTACTAGCTGTGTGATCTTGGGCAAGTCACTTAACCCCGACTGCCTCACTAAAAAAAAACACACAAAAAAACATACCCTTCTCTAGAGTTTGTGTTCTTCAGTTTATCAAACACTCCACTGCCATGTGTTTTTGCTTTTAGGTTACCTAATCTATTCCATTAATCAATTCTATTTTTTAAAATCAGAAACCAAATGTTAGTGATTTGCAGCAACATATAATGTGAGATCTGGTGTTCTTCTGACACTTAAAAATCTAGAGGGTACCAAATAACAAATCTATAAGATTAGAAGATATTCCCAAAAGGATAAGTGGTCAAAGGATTTTTGTTTTTGTTTTTTTGTATTTTGCTAGGCAATGGGGTTGAGTGACTTGCTCAGGGTCACACAGCTAGTGAGTGTCAGGTATTTGAGGCTGAATTTGAACTCAGGTTCTCCTGACTCCAGGGCCAGTGCTCTATCCGCTGCGCCACTTAGCTGACCATGAAACACACAATTTTTGAAAGAAAGGCAAACTACCAAGAACCATCTGAAAAATTGTTTAAGATAATAATCAAAGAAATGCAAATTTAAAAAACTCTTGAGTTATGACTTCATATCTATCAAATTAGAAAAGATGGGAAAATTTGATGTTTAGGGTGATTTGAGAACAGAGGCATCCTAATCTATAGTTGACAAAGCTAAATGGTTAAACTACTCTGGAAGACAATCTCAAATTATGCAAGAAAAATCACAAAATTACTCAGTTTTACCCAGAGTTTCCACCACTGGATCTATAATCCAGGGAGGTACAAGAGAACAACAACAACAAAAAGACCCACATATAGGAAAATATTCACAGCCAAATTAAAGGACAGGAAAAGTGGAAGACCTTGACTCAAATCCTGCCCCATGGCACATACTACCCATGTGACCCCAGCAGGTCACTTAACAACTGGCTAAGACTATAAAATGAAGAGAAGGTGCCTCCTTGCTATGGTAGAGGTAGCTTTCTATATCAATGAATTTTCAAGTCCAGTCCCAATAGGATTATTATATGTAATATCAAAAAACTGGAAACAAATTATGTGCCCCAGAGATTATGGAATGGCTGAACAAATTGTGGTATGTGAAGATAATGGAATAATTGTGCAGTAAAGAACAATGAATATGAAGATTTCTGAGAAAGAGGAAGACTTGCATATAGCTATAAAGAATGAAAAAAGGAGAATCAAAAGAATACACAAATGACTATAATGTAAATAAAGACAATATGGAAAGGTGACAAAGATCAAATCAAATGGTGTTACCAAATGATTAGCTAAAGCCTTTCTGTTAAGTAATGATAAACTATAAAAGTAGAAGGTGAAACCACATACTATCATTCATAATCTCCCTATTAGGAGTTTGCTTAATTATTTTTTGGGGGAGAGGGGATGTATTTTGTGGGAGATCTCACTGTCAAGCAGAGTGCACTGAGTGCTCTATTTTCTGCATTGAGAGCTCTAATTTCTTACCTAAATTCATTCATTCATTAAGGCTGCTAGGTAGTGCAGTGGATAGGGGTCTGTAGCACCAGTAAAGAGGGAGTGACATAAGTGATAAGGTCTACAAGAAAAATGATTAATCACCTAAGGCATCAAGAGAAAAAAGACCTCAATAAAAACCTAGCACACAAACACATAAACTGAGAGGATCCTAAAAATGAGAAGAAAAAATTAGTAACTACTAAGAGAACCTGAAGTATGATTAGCAAATATTACGAGATAAAGGAAAGTGAAGCAATAATGCCTGTTACAAGCCAAATTCTTATGGACTCCCCTCCCCCATAATGGAACAATGACAAAAAAATCTCAGAACAGCTCAAAACATAAATAAAAAATCATGAAAGAAAACAATTATACTAATAATAGCTAGTATTTATAGAGTACTAACTATGTACCAGGCACTGTGCTAAACATTTTACAATTATTACCTCAGTTTAAATGACTCGCATAAGGTCAAACTGCTAGTTTCTGAGACTGGATTTTAACTCTAGTCACTGCTCCACCAGCTGCCTGTCCACTGGATTCCCACTTCTGCTTACTACCTGCTACTTCTTAAGGGGTAGAGAGTGGGGTGGTCACTGTAGCTTTTAGATTCTCCACCTTAATGCACTCCCTACTTCCACCCTGCACCTATGCAGGTTTTCAACCTGACTTATTCTGTCCCCCTACTCTTTCTTACATATGTCTGGGCAGTCAGCATCAGCTGCTTCCCGAGGGGCAGCAGTGTTTGGGCAGTCACTGTAAGCTAAGACAATCTCTGCCCTGGAGAATGCATGACTGGTTTCTATTGGCCTCTCCCTCAAGTTCAGGGAAGCTACCTATGCTCTAATGTTTTCAACCCTCCTAATTCAATCCTCCTCTCTGTTCTCTTTCATGTGACTGGGATAGAGTCAGTGTTTGCCATGTCTTGTGGGGTAGGAGGGATGGGGGTGGTTCAGGCAGAGGCCGTAGGGGTCCCTACCATGGCAGTAGGCCCAGGGCAAAAGCCTGCAACTTAACTTGTGCTAGCTGCCCTGGCTGTGTAGAGGCAGGTATATTTGAGTGTGAGAATTAGTTCTACTGGGTCAGCTTATGAAGGTTACTGCTTTACCTGGTGTTATCTTGTCTTTTTATCTTGTGGATTGGTGATTGTAGGGTTGAAGCAGTTTACATGGTAACATATCATCTTGCTAGTCACAAGTTTTCCTTGCCAAGGCTAATCCCTCTATGTGTATACTTGAATTCATTTCCTCTTGTTCTTTCTAAGCTCTTTCCCTGCTGCCTATAACAATGTTTAAGTTTTCTCTACCCTTTCCATTGACCTCACCATCCTTCCCCTCAAAGTCATCATCCTATATCTTGCCTCCATTTCACTGGCAAAACCTAAAAAGGATAGATAACACATTAAGTCTTAACCTACTTACATCTCAACCTTTTCAAATTTGATTTTTAACCCTACCACTCTACTGAAATTATTGTCTCCAAAATTACCAATGAGCAAGATTTAACTGCTAGATCCAATGGCCTTTTCTCATTGCTTAGTAATTTTCTTGCCCACATGGTAGCTTTTGACATTGCCAAATACCTTCTTTTCTCCTTGGTATGTTCTACTCCCTTGGATTCTGGGACACTGCTCTCTCCTGGTCTTCTTCCTACTTCTCGGACTGCTGCTGCTTTGCTAGATTCATCTCCTTATGCATGTCTATCTATGTGTGGCCCAAGGATCAATCCTGGGCCCTTTTCTCTTTTCACTACATTCTCTTCCTTTCTGATCTCAGCAGTTTCTGCTAGCTCAATTATTATCTGAACATCACTAACATCTTTGGCATTGCCAACAGGCTGCAATACATCTCCATGTGAATTTCCCAATTCACATCTCAAACTCCACATGTACAACTTGGCTTCAACTCTCATTTCTAACATTAATTAGTTGAGTAAGCAAAGGCAAATCACTAAACCTCTCAATCTCAGATTCTTCAACTGTAAAATGAAATATTGGTAGTACCTGCAGTTGAGGTTCAAATGAAATCACTTATGTTAAGTACTTTTTTAGAATATAAAGCATGTCAATTATTATTGTCATTTTTACTAAAATGGAACTAATTTCCTTGCCAAAGTGACTGCTCTGCCAAAGTTTCCAATTTCCATTCAGGGTATTATCATCTTCCAACTTACTCAGGTTCATAACTTGGGAATTATCTTTGACTTTTTAATGCCCAACTATGGCCAATCAGTTGCCTAGTCTTAATGGTTCTCCCTCTGCAACATTTCTTGCACCTATCACCTTC